CCTGGACCACAAAACCAGTCTTAAGTCGTTGGGGTATATTTGTAGCAATAGCCAAAAAAAACATTGTATGGGTCAAAATTATCAATTTTTCTTTTATGCCAAAAATCATTAGGATATTAAGTAAAGATCATGTTCCATGAAGATATTTTGTAAATTTCCTACCGTAAATATATCAAAACTTAATTTTTGATTAGTAATATGCAAAGCTAAGAACTTCATTTGGACAACTTTAAAGGCGATTTTCTCAGTATTTTGATTTTTTTGCACCCTCAGATTCCAGATATTCAAATAGTTGTATCTCGGCCAAATATTGTCCTATCCTAACAAACCATACATCAATGGAAAACTTGTTTATTCAGCTTTCAGATGATGTATAAATCTCAATTTTACAAAATTGACCCTTATGACTGGTTTTGTGGTCCAGGGTCATGTTTGTATTTTTCACTGCTAAAAAGATTAAGTTAAGATCAACCTGAATTTCCATCCTGGACCATAGTAGTTTATACTGGTTAGTGTTGATTTGGTGGAGCCAAGTGGAGACACTAACAAAACACTATTCAAAACACGGTATAAACCTGTGACTAGCAATGGTGGTCTTTTCAGCAGTGTCTTGCTGTCTGTGTCCATTTTCCTTTCTTTTAATATGACTCTAAAGCAAAATGCTGCATTTATATAGCCCATGAATCAACAGCTTGACTGCTTCACAGTAAAGCCTTGTGTGTCCCACTGCTGATAAGCTGAAATATGTGAAGTGTGCTGAAGCACTAGTGCTTTTCACTGTTCTGACTACTCCAGCATGCAGGCCGGATCACATACTTATCTGTACACTTCCTTAAGCCAGATATGCTAACTAAATCAAACATGAAGAGAGGGAGACATGGACACTGGATAAATCTGCCCCCCCCCCGAGTGTGTGATCCAACTGAGCATGTGTAACAAATTCTTAAAAGCTTGTTGAACAGGTTAAGAGTGTGTCCATGTCTGTTAGCTTCCATCTGTATGCTAGTGGAATCCAAAAGTTGGCAAAATAAACTTTTAGCAGATGTGCGTTTTTAAAATGATCATATCCTCTAAGAACATGGACCAGAAATATCGAAAACATATTTTCATCCAAGAAAATGCTCTCTAGAATGAGAACGAGAATGTCCCTTCCCCTAAATTATAAGAGCCCATGAATATGATTAAATTATAAAAACCCTAAATGTCTTTAAATTATCAACCCCCTAAATATGATTAAATGATAAAAAAACGAAATATTATTAAATTACAAATTCCCCTTAATATTATTAACTTGTGTATGAGACATTTTAATGCAATTATGTGTTTGTCCATTGGGTGGTGCACTGGAAATAGTATATTTGGGCAATTGGTTAATGAGACAACAGGTGTCGCAACTCACCATTAAATCAAAAGAAGAAGAAGAAGAGACAACAGGTGTGTATAGGTAGTAGGGAAGCACACAGTTTTTGACCGTTTTGGATGGGTTTGGATCGTGCTTCATCATGCTAAATTATTGGATTATGCGTTTGAACTGAGTTGAACAGTATGCTGTGTCTACAAGGTATGGACTTTTGTATACTATGAACTAGACAAAATGACACCACGGGAAGCTAATTGGAAGCAATGTTTATTCATTGGAGCACAATAAAGAAAGACATTTTACTTCGGTTTTGCATGGACTTATTTTTACGCGTAATACTAGCGTCTTAGTGGAAGCCGCTACAAATTATATAATAGTATAATTACAAAAAAATATGGCCAGTAGTAATTGCAAGTAACAAAAGTGTCTATGATTGTACTTTTTTTTTTTTTTTTTTTTTTTTTTTTTTTTTTTTTTTTTTTTTTTTTTTTTTTTTTTT